ATTTGTTTCCACTACGTGCTCTGCGGCTTGCTCATCTTCAAACTGCATTTTGGTAGGAACAAACTTGGGCTCGTACACCATTTTCCATGCATTTTTCTCTTCTTTACAACATGCTGCACATCCAGCCACACTTCTGGTTGAGCAGCAGACTGCAGGCCTACTTTTACGGTGGATACCAAACACGTTGTGAGATGCTGCTCGACTGTCAAATCTGCTGGGAGGTCTTTGGTACACCAAGGGTATGCTAGCTCCTGCCAGGCCAGCGCCCCTGCCATTCAGCATGTTTGGATAGACAAGGTTTGAATAAGGCACCCTCAACTCAATGCTTAATTTCTTCCCCTGGTAAGCCAGTGGGCCCCTCTGACCTTGTGCCAACATGTAGGCACCCAGATGACCTAAAATTTGGGCAGTAAGCCCAGGTCAAACCCTTGGGCAATATACCCCCTAATGCCACACTCACCACAACCAGAACTTTAATGCAGATTTCAAGAAACACGCCTTCCATCACCTCTGGCTTGCTCCCTCACTCCCCAGTGGCTGTGGATTCATAGTTCCCTACGAACTTCTCCCTTCATTGTACTTGCAATTCAAAAGAAAACAAAGCTTCACACAACCTCCATCATACTTGCTCCCTGCTCCAAATTCCTTTTCCACTACTTGATTTCCACTCTGTGCATCCCAGCCCCCGTGCCTGTACTCATTCATTGCAATAGTCCATTGAAGCCAAGGCTTCTCCCCTCAATTCTCCTATCACTTTCTGCTAGCAGCCTCTGCTTCACACTGCTGCCTGCCTACGTGAGAGGCACCCAGCAATGCAGAGGATGACAGTACATTACCAAGCGGTAGAAACAACACAGTATCACGTTTTCAGTGTTTTCATCATGCTTTTCCATTTTTGCAACAGCACGTCTCAGGTTAAAAACAGTATCTGTGGGTTTTTTTCAGGGTCAAAAGTAGCACAGATTTTAGAATCAAAATAGAAAGAAGTCTTAGTTATTGGAAACGTGAAAAAGAAATGCGTGTATAATGAATAAATTCCCCTACTGGAACAAGGTGCTCAGCATAGATTCTCATTTCAACACATGGCCTTGTTATTTACCACATAAAAAGCAATTTGATTTTCTGATGTTACAATAATTGCATTTTTATAAAGGTATTACGGGCTGTGTGACACCCAGACACCTACCCTGTGCTATTTATTCTATGGCCAGGTGAGATGGAGGGGTTACATCAGCAAGATCCTGCATCTCTTCCTCTCTTTCTTCCCCCCATATATTTTGGTAAGACTCCTCTAGTATGGTACCTGAATACCAGGCATATTCATTAGCCTAAGCAGACTGTTCCTTCTCAGCCTGCCCAACAGAAAACCAGGCCAGTTTCAGCTGCATACATATATATTTCACTCAGAGCAGAACAGGCACATTTGGTTAGTGTAACAATTTTTTTTTATTTCAGTTACTTTTTCACATATAACTTCATGTAAGCTACAAAAATCGTGAAATGCAGAAATGGTATTAAAACTGCAAACTTAAAAGTCTTGATAAAAAAACCGTGTCTTTCCCTGTTAACAATGACCATTTAAAATGAACCATATTTTGATGGATTCATTTAATAAACATACCATACACTTCTCAAAAATAAATAAAGAACAACATCAGAAAAACCATCAACAACATGAAGCATTTAGTTGTCTTCTTTTTCCTTTAAAGACAGAAATGAAATTTCTAGGCACAGTTTTAGGCATTATAGAGGACACAGAGGCAATAGGTTAGTGTGCACTGCTCTGTACAAAAATACAGTCTGAATAAATTACATTGCTAGCCATAAGATTAGACTTCACTTACCAGTCAGTTCATTGCATGTTTAATAATATACAGTTACATGCTAATTCATATATATCATTTATATTTCAAACACATAGGTGTCTCTATATTTGTTTTTAAAATTTACAAAAGCTAAACGAAGTTGTGCAAGAAATCCAAAGAGGTGCTAGGTACTTGTCAGCACCGGACGGTATACTTTAAGCTTAAAAAATACAAGTAACTAGCCCTGCTTGCAAGTTTGCTATATATATATTTATTCATATATATTTGGAAGAAAAGCAATGGATTTGTTGTGTGAGAAAATCATCCTGCCAGTGAGATGAAGCCAAAGAACTGAAATAATGGTGGTATGACACAAGCGCAACATACAAAACGATTAATTTGTCGTACGTACACTCAAGACACGTGTGTATCCTGTTTGGGCCTAGAAAAAAAAAAATCAGCAGAATGTTGCGTTTACTTCTAGTTCAGTGCTGAGAAACAGAATGGTTGCCAAAATTGGCAATGGTAAGGGGGCGGGGGGGGGGGGGGGGTAAGCTAAAGGTAGGTACCTAAACCCATATACCAGATGCCCAAACGCAAAGGACCTGAGGAGTTTGAGGGTTGTGTCCTAATAGATTGCATTATCTTCAAGAGGAAAAGCAGGTGTTCAGACTGAAAATCAGATCTCTGACTCAAATGTGAATGAAGAACCTTGTCTTCAGGCATTCACGTTTGTAGATTTGCCTGAACATCTTTCATATTAAGAGCCAGGTGACTTTCAGAGCGCATGCCTTAGGCCTGACATTTCTTTTTGCTCAAACTCTACATAAAGAAACATTACTTGATAAATCAGTAGATACGATATGGGTTGGGCACTGTACCTCCTTGTCAGCATAGGAGAAGTGACACGCAATGTCAGCACCAAAACACTGTTCTCCTAGAAGGTACGGAAATCTCACAGTGGGCTTCTCTACGTTAACCTAAGTCCCATGCCAAACTACAATGTTCTTCATGCTGCTAAATAAAAGCAGAACTACACAGCTGTTCAGAAAGATACAGAGTTAACGATATACTGAATATCCGCCTTAAGTCAGTCTCAGGAAAAAAACAGAGTTACAGACACCCTCTGGCGCCTGTGAAACAAGCGGACATAATTTTTCCTCCCATCCTTTTTGTTCTCCAGGCATTGCCATACAATCCCTTCCAAGTCAAACTATCATTTTACTCTGTCTAATCTAATTAATCACCACTGGTCCTGGAAAGACTGCTGATACGGAATATTCTGCCGTGATAGTAAAGATTTAATTCCAGAGCTCCAGAGTTTTATAAACCATCCCCGTATTTCAGCAATACTTTCACAACAACCTCCTAAAGGCAGCCCTGTAGTCCCGTGGCCAATGCAGAACCTCTGTGCCCTGCGAACGACGGCACAGGCATTAACACTGTAGATGCGGTCTTAACATCGAGTAATTCAGCAGTCTCTTCCGTGGCACCAGCAAAACCATTTGTATAGAGGTGGATGTGCAACCCTGGAAAAGCTGCTTTTGCAGAGGTCCACACAGAATATATTTTAAATTTCTCCATTAAAAAAAATAGTTCTTTCTAAAGATTAGAATTGTATAAAAATATGTTCATAATTAATTGAAAATATCCAAATAAGCAAATCGTAAACAAAAATTAAAGTGATGCGGATTAAATTCATGTAAAAGTTCTCCCTATTTTATCTTGGGTTTCATTTCATGTGTACAGTCTCTGAATGTTTTTAAGTGGGAAACATACTAAGCAAGGAGTAATTAGATGTACATAATCATCAGCCAGTCCATTATAAACTCAGCCTTTAAAAACAAGAGATTACCTCCTGCAGTGCTAATGTTTTAATATGGACATGATGGGGTCTCAGCTGTATTCCTGATGATCAGAGACACTCACAACCTAACTAGATTTTTAAAAAAAAAAAAAAAAAAGGCATTTTTTCTTTGCAACAGCCTTAGAAAACATTTTTTAGTAAGTATTAGATTACACAGAGAATAGCAAGTAGTTATTTTGTCCAGTTCTATCTTAACTCGATGTGAACTTTTAAGCATTTCCCACAACACAGAGTCTGTACAAGGGCATATACAGAAGACAAACCATTTTATGTTTATTTTGTAACACCAACCAAAATTGGGGATATCAATCCAAAGCTATCAAAAATGTGTATAAAGTTAGTATTTTAACCACTGCATCACAGCTTATATTACAATTTTAAGATGAATCATTTCTCTCCCTCTGCATTTATAGTTGTACTATATAAATTCATTTATTCTAACAAATACCTTTCAAAAATATAACTGAACTTGTTCCATATGATTCTTTTCGTTACAACGTTCAGAAGCTAAATGGGTACTTAGGACAACTGCAATTCATTCATGCATTTTAGATGCCTCAGGGACAGATGAGGTCTTTTTCTACTCCCTTTTATCTCCACCCTCCAGCAAAACACTCAGAGCTGAGACAACTTCCAACTACACAGTCAGAAGCACATGTCCCCAGGTTTGGACCTCCTTCAACAATCTGCTACAGCTGGCATGGTGATGTCGATTACCAATTCATGAAATTCTGTGTGGTTGGTGGCTTGGTTTTTGGTTTTTTTAATTATTCTCCCAGAAGACTGTTGAATGCAGATATTAGGCAAGTCATTAACCAGTTACATTCACTGCCCTCAACACAGTCACTTGCAACTAATTCCTTAAGAGCTTTTTTGAGCAAGTAACAAGGGGCCAAGACAGCCTATTGTACAAGATGCCATTGCCTGCTTATCAGACATCTGAATCCTCTATGATACAGGGAAACTTCTAAATGGAGCCTATACCAGCTGCTCCCCTGAAGGCAATAGCAGATGCTGGCGTTGCATTCTCATTCCAACTAGTTTTCTCACAATGATCGCTGTCACGTAGATCCTTTTGCTTGTTGTCAGGAAAAATGAAGCTTATGTATCAGCAGCTTGCAGCATCTGCCTATGTAAGATCAGCAATCCTAGTGTTTGCAGTTCTTTTAAATGGTTGTAAAAGCTAGTTATAGTGTTCACACCCAAAAGGCAAAGGCTATTTTATCAACAGAGCAGACTGTTTGGTGCTCCACAAGTGTTCTAAAAAAAACTGTGAGTTAGAAAAGATGGAGTAATCCTTTTGTTATTTTTCTTTTCATTAAACAATTCTAGTAATAGTCTTCATAGTTCTTAGGGTTCAGGCAATAAAGAATGGCACCCCCAAATGAAAATATAGTTGCACCCCAAGCCAGGCCATAGCCCCAGTTGAACTCATGGTATATTTTCAAGCTGACTGTTTCGATGAACTTGATTGGGTAAAGGACTAAGCTGCACACCTGAAGAACAACTGAAAGAGAAAAAAAACCAAATGTCAGAAGCGGCCTTAATTAATTTTTTCATAAAACAAGAAAAACATCATGTAACTGAAATTCACATTTAAAATGTTCTTGATGCATTTTTAGCTTACAAGTTCTGCTCTTTTTGAGAGAAAAAAAAAAACCAAAAACCTATCACATTCATTTCATCCACCGAGAACAGGGCAGTTCTTCCATATTCCCTCGTTGATGAATGTTATTGCTATGGTATAACGATGATCCTTCAGATGTCCATGAAATAAACAGTGAAAGCAATCTTTTCACAACTCTTTCCTGCCTCTCCTTTGTATTTTAGTTTGCAGTCATTATTCCTTCCATAATAACAAAACTAAGATCACTTGTTCTATAGCTATTATAAATAAGTCAAAACAAGGCACAAGAATAAACGAATATTAAGAAATATAGCTCAGAATCAAATCATTTACTTAGCCTAGAAATAATTCATTGTAGTAGGTGATACATATTTATGTTCAGCAGAGACTCACTGAATTACATATTTCATATGCATTGCTGTGTACTGTAATCAGAATTAATGATATTGTTAGGCAGAATACCAAGGAATCTATAAAGTTTGATCAGTCATTAAACTTCCAACTGGCAAAACACTGCCTTGTGTTATGAATTTAAGGGGTGGGTCAGAAATGCTTCATGATGAAAAAAAGCTAATAAAACTGATCAAATCCAAGGCAAGAAAAAACTTAAAAATCATTACTTTCTACAGCACTGTCTCTGAGAGCCAGATCTCCTGCAGCCTGATCCGCACGTCTACAGTGGAATTCAGCAAATGTGTTAATTACTGTGTTACATTAAAAAAAACACAAACCACATACAGTAACCTGAAAAGGAAAATACTCAGATGAAGAACATCAGTTTTCACAAGAATTTAGTTTCATCAGTGTCCATTCTCCTTTACATTCAGGCATATTGTTAACAGTATAATTGGGACAACCATTTCCAGGGGAAGTAGGTGAAAATTACACTTGGTGTGAAGACAAGAACAATCTGCATGATGTAGTAATTCTCCAGGCCTCCAGCTCTGCCACCCACAAAAGACTAAACATCGCTGGAACGTACAAAACATCCTTTTTTGCCCTTCAAATATATGATATGGCCTTATTGCAACACTCCCTTCCAGCATTTAACACTAGCAATTTTTAAAGGCTTCAGCAGTCGACCGCCTCTGCAAGCTGCCTCAGCGCCCGATGGCAGTCAGGGCGGGCACATCCACGCCGTTATGCACGTGCTTACGTATTTGCAGGCCTGAGACACATAGCGATGAAAGTTCAACAGTATGCAATGTAATGCCATAGTAACTACCTTCTTTAACATTGACTGGGTTGGTTTTTTACAGTTTATTAGGTATCATAAGAAGAGGGAACACTTTTTAGAGAATTGTTACAAAGTCAACGCCAATATATATTGGCAGTGGATAGCAGAAAACAAGACTACTTTGGACTACAGAAGTCCTTCTGAAATTACACTGAGAAATTACAGGAAAATAAAACAACATTAACTGCTTGAACACTTCACGCGTTCAAAATCTGTCATTTGCCTTTTCAGCCCCAAATGCTCTCTACAGTGTTGTCAAAGTGGCACCTTTTCTGGAGACTAACGCTCTCCTGTCCTCTGGATGGGGACCGGTATGGGGAGATGATTTCCAATGTTCCTTACACACCCTTTGTTGGTAACACTTTACAAAATGCTCATTGGAAACTTCTTCCCCTCCTCCCCGTCCACTTCGCCTACAGACTAGTCTTTGGACTCTTACTTGAGACTGACAATCTGAACAATGTTTGGATAGTGGATTTTCTGATGTGGATAGCAAAATCCACAGGATTTTTTTAATCCTGAAGTTATTGAAGTGTTACTTTGTGTTATTCCATTTTAATATATTTTTTGTCTGCCAGCTCACAAAATACTGCACAACACTGAAGAAATTTTGACAGGGTACACTAGGGGAAGCGCCTACACTTATGAAAAGATTATGCAGTCCAATTCTGTATAATGAGAGCATCATTACACCCAAAAATACCTGAACATATGCTCTGCTTTCAGACACATCTTTAAGACCATTCAAAGTCAAAAAGGATTTTCTGAGATGAACGGATGTAAGCAAGTTCTTCAGTGGCTTCCTGAACTGGGGCTGCAACATCTCTGCTGAGTCAATACAGGAATTGCTCTGCTCTGTGTGCGCGTGTGAAGTTCCAACCAAGGAAGCTCTCCATCTTCCCTCAATCTGACATATCAAGTATGCTGAATTTTAATCTACAGACCGGACTTGTCAAAACAAAACCAAAAAGTGATTCTGTTGGAAGAGGAACATGCGGCTAAAGGAGCAATACCCGTAACAGGTATTTTAACATTTTTATAGTCCTGCTTTTGCTACTACTGGTCCAGCTACACTATTGAAAAATTGAAAGGAAGTGCTGGTAGCAACTGGCCAGTGGAAACACCCACACTTCACAACACTGACATCGCTTTGCACTTTTTTTTTTTTGCCTTCCGTTATTGTTGCTCCCCATAAAGCGGCAAGGTTCCTGTGTAGGCTAGAAACAGCTAGTGAAGTTATGAAAAATGACGAGAACAACCCAAAAAGATGTTTTTGCATTGCAAGCATTGGGTTTCAATGCTTGCAACTACTGATCTGCTTCCAATGAATTTAAAGGAACTCCATGCTACGATGACCTGCTTACGGGAAGTGCGTGTATGTACTACCTTTCTTCAGAAGCGCTAGTCTTTTGCTGTAGAGAAAAAGGCTGCAAAAGAAATCTTAAAAAAAATAATTACACTTCAAAATGCTACTCAAAAAAGACGAGTCATCTCAAACTAGACTATATCTGCTTCAAGTTTAGACCCATTTTTATGACTAGCACTATGATGCTTGCAAGACAATTGCACAGGAACAGGAATACTAGTTTTGTTCCATTTACATGAAATATATGCAATTATATGTACTCACCATCTATGTTTAATACATATATTAAAAAAAATCACAACAAAAGCTTTAAAACTAGGAAAATACAATCTTTTGTTCCTTGTTCAAATGTTTGACAGTTTCGCTGTGCAAAAAAAACCTTATAATGTGGTTTTCTAATTGGTCTCCATTTATGAAAATGGTGACGCTGGCTAGTAAGTTCTGTATTTCTGTTCTCTACACCATACCTCCTGCTCATTCACATTGAGTAAAACACTTCATTAATAACCAACAGGTGTTAGAGTTTTAAAGATTAACACACATGCAACTGCTATCTAGGAAGTTGTTTGTACTTAATACAACTCATGCAATTAATTGGGAAGCAACATGAAGAGAAAGGGGGGTACATGCTGATTTTAAAAATATTGCTAGCTCAGGAACATACCATCCTGCTACACAGGCAGACCAGGAATTTCAGCAGGAAGCCCAGTTGGCCAAACAGGGAGTTTCTCAATGAATGTGCAAGAAAGGGGCACACAAGAGCAGGAAACAAGGACAGACAATGACAAGGGAGTACAAAAGCACTATTTTGATACTTAGACACAAAATCAGGAAGTTTGAAGCCCAGCTGGAGTCCCACATTAAACTAGGAAATGGCAAAAAGGGTAATAAAGAAGAATTCCCACAGGTGCGTTAGTTGCAAAATGAAGTTCGGAAAACATATTTATACGATGATGGACAGGAAAGCCAGTCTAATGACAGATGATGTACCATGACAGTTTCTCCAAAACCTTTTAGTGTCACGGTTTGGGAGGGCGTCAGCAGTGCAGGAACAAATTAGGGATGACTTAGACTTGCATCTGTATCTATGGTGACAGATGGAATTGACCCAAGGGTGATGAAAGAGTTGGTCGATGTGATCATGAGCCCTCTATCGTCTATGAAAAATCACAGTGATCAGAAGATATTCAGATGACTGGAAAAAGGCTAATGTTGTGTCCATTTTTAAAAAGGCTATAAGTTAAAAATGCACAGAATTATAGGCTGGTCAGCCTCAATTCAATCCCTGCAAACATTATGTACATCCTCTTGGAGTCCACCTCTAAGCACATGCAGAACAAAGTGGCAATCAGTAGTGAACGTGGATTCACCAATGAAGGACAAGGGTCCCCAGAGCTCCCAAGATAATCAGAACCCTGAAGCAAATTATCCTTAAGAGGAGGAGGAGGGAACTAGGTTTATTTAGACTCATGAAGAAGCAGTTAAGGAGCAATTTCGAACAGGCCTACAGTTACCTGAAAATGTAGCTGCAATGATGATAGAAAGAAAAAAAGAAAAAAAACCCCTCTTCTTTGTAGTGCCAGGCAACCTAAGATAATGGCAATAGGCACAAATCTCAGTTTAAGAGATTCAGAATGGACATCAGGAAAGAAAAAAATATAAGTAGTATAGCACCAGGACAACATGCTTGAAGAGCCTGTGGAATCTTCATCCTTGGAGTTCTTCAAGACTGGTCCAGACAAAGCTGCAGCTGGTTGACCTAGTGTTAGTGATTGTCCTGCCTCAACAAGAAAGTTGGACTACATGACCTACATAGTATCTTTGCTATCAATATTTATTTGATGCTGACTCTTTTCTACTGCCCTGTAGCAACTTGCACTAAATCCTACTGCAGTCAGTCCTACTTTTTCAGATCATTCCATCAAATTCTGAGCTCTAATATATCTGCAATTTTTTTCTAGCTTCACTGTAAAATTTGATGAGTACGCTTTTATTCTATCTTCCACACCATTATGAAAATAGGTAATAGCACAACACTTGGGACACAATCCAGCCAGACTGCGCTCTGACTCTCTGTCAGAACGGAAAGATACATCCTCTAAGTATTTTTCAAATATCATCTGCCATAATTTCTTTTACTCTCTCACCTATATTACTTTCACTGTTTCCCCACCTTACATGGAAGGGCATCCTGTGAAATGTGTTAAAAGCTTACTAATCTCAACAGGTTATTCTTCTAAACATTGTAAAAACATAGCCCTAGAAGGCAAACATCTTTTAAATTACCTTTTTTGTTTGCTTTTATGGACTTTCAACAACTACACTTTCTACCCCTAAATTAAGACTTGGTTAGCACTTAATTATCTGGCAACCATATCATGAGACTCCAACACTGTCAAGTTTGTGAGCTTGTACCTCGAGGATGCAGCTTTCAGGGCCCGTTTGGTTCATGAGCACTAAGACCCCCCCAGCAACTAGATAAGCTAGTGAGCTCTACTAGACCAAAAACACTGGGGAAGAGCTGTATGAGCCAAAGTGGCTCCACACGAGAGTGTCCCGCAACTGCTTCTCTGTACACTCCACGTTTTTCCATTACCTGTTCCTCTCCCCATTACACAGAGTTGACAGTATGTATTTTAAACACATTCACATCTGTTGATCACTTGCTGCCTTATTCTCAGTATCTAGGTTGAATTATTTTTTTTGTCCTTTTGCTTTCTCATCTCTTCCAGTCCTAGTCAGTCAATCTTCTTCCTCACCTACAGAGTCACTAACTGAAACCTGAAGCTGAGAAAAGTGAAAAATAAAAATCAAAACTTGAAGAAAAAAAAAATGCCTGGAGCCAACTGTTTGGACTCTAAAGTGCCTGGAAACCACTTTTCCATTTTTTCCTTTCTCCCACACAGTGACGTTTTCTACCTGACACCCACACAGACCATTAAATGCCTCTGGGCAATTCATCCCATGTCCTTCTTCCAGAGGCAGCTGGTAGACTCCTAACCAGAGTCGTACAGAATATTTGGTCTTGTCAGCAGATTCACAGGTCAGGGCAGGGTTTATCCTCAAAGATCCTCTGTGAAATCCACAGGTGAAGGTTTGAATCCATAGACAGTTGCACAAGGCACAAACTCCACTGTGCTGCAATATTAACTTTCCCCTCTTCAGTAGGGGACTCTTTCCATAATTCTTTCAAGATACGCCAGTCCATGTTCAACTCTAAAAATAGCTGACATTAAAGATAACATCTGTAGGAAATGACACTAACAATGTCAGCATCAAATCCCAAAAGGATTCTCTTCAGATTTGCCAGATAATGAAGAAGAATGAGGCAGGCTGTCTCGGCCTCATCATCTCTCTTCCTTTTATATGTTTCAGATCATGGCTATTTAAAAACGTATGTGCATACACACACACAGAGGCAAAGGAAGGAGGTGAACATCAATCATGAGCTAAAGCATCATTACATTTTCCTTTTTGATGCAAGTAAGCATTAAACCCCTGTCCCCTCCAAATTTTGTAGTAAACACTAAAACTAATTTTATGCAGAAGAGACTAGAGTAAGCTTTAAGCCAAACAACAGGATTTGGGGAAATTTTTTTCTTTTTTTTAGTACAAAATTAACTATATAGTAAATGAGCAATATGGCAAGATAGGCAGTGTGTGGCTGAACAAATACTAAGTTAATTTTTCTTAACATCGTGTAGTAAGTCAAAAGCCAAACAAGAAAATTCAATAATCCTACTTCCTTCAAAGTTAACTGCCCAGCATGCTTTATAATCTCAGAATTAACACTAAATCTTAAAATAATGGCACCAGTGCCTTTATTCATTCAACGAAGCAAGCAACACAACACATAGAACAAAAAGATACGATTTCTGCTTAGGAAATCTGACCCTAGGTTGCATTCATTTCCTAAAAAACAAATGAAATATAACCTAACAACATCTCTTGAGCAGATAAAAGTGCACCTTAAAGCACGGCAGCTCAGTGAAGGTATGGTTAACAGCAGGGGGCAGCAGGACCCTTCCCCGGAGCTTTGCTGCACTCCTGAACACCCTGTACATTCCGTGCTCTTATCTTTTCATATCCTTGTACGCGGGTTTTTTTTTGGTTTTTTTTTTTTTAATACATTCCGAAGACTGGGCGCTGTCATCCTCTTCATTATGGGCTATCAGAAGGGGCTTAAGCTGCTGGCTCCAATGCAGATACGAGCGACAGGATGAAGGCAAACCACGGTTGGTGAATCTCAGGAGAAACAGAAACATGCGTGCTGACTAAGCCCCAAAACATCAGAATGTACAACAGGAGATGATTTGATATTGTAATTATATCTCACTGGACCAGTTTTATGGACAATTCAGATTCACGAGTCTCCCTTAAGATTCTGTGATAGTCTATATAAACTGTTCCATTTTCATGTTTTTAAAACCAAACTGGGACTACACTGTGACAGCTTGTTAAATTAATAACTAAGTAAGCAAGCTGACACAATGAAATTAATTCCCCATGGCACAGGGGCATATATAAACACCTTGCAACATAATCCTATTTATTTTCACACCTAGGGCTTCAAGGGTTCACATTTGAGCACTAATTTTCTCCTGTTTTAAAATTGTAGAAAGAAGCACATTAACAGAAATGTCTTTGCATGAAGAATAAAAATGGGGACATCAAGCAGCACAAAGTCACAGACTAAAACTGGTGCTTTGAGATTTATCCTCTGTAGTTTCCCCTGCTGTGTGTAGTTCACAAAACAATACATACAATGCAAATAAATAATTGCTTATGAACCAATAATAGTGCAATTGCCAAAAACGATTAATGTCGTGCAGAACCGGTATCTTGAAAAACCTCACAGGAGTTAACGCTGAAGTAAACCAAATGCTTCTGAATTAGTATGCAGAACAAGGCACGTCTTCCTTCACAAACGTGAAGCTGCTCTCATGAAATTTTCATAATGGTGCCGGTAATCTGCTTACCTGCAGCAAAGAGCATGACTGCAACCGGTCTGTAGAACCGCCTCCGAGATCCCACGCAGATAGAGATCAGCCCAACCAGGAAAGCTATGAGAATGATGGCAGCACCACCCAACAGCAAAGCAAGAGTAGCTATCTGCCAGTCTGGGAGGGGTGGTGGG